CCCAGGGGAGGACATCCATCACACAGTAATCTCGTGTGTGGGAAATTAACGTCTCCTACCCCAACCCTGCAGGAGACGGGACCTCCATTTATTCGTCCCTATCCGAGAAGACTAGAAAATCTAACCATTTCTTGATGTTATAGAAAGGCAGCAAATTCTTCTCAATTATTTTAAGACCCTGAGTGTTGGTCTGGCCGGGGCTCGAACCCTCGACCTCCCCCTCAACAGTCCAGCGCTCTATCCATTGAGCTAACCGGGAGGCGGTTCATGCCCTGGCTGAGGACATTGTGTTATTGGGCGAGACACTTTATTCTCACAACGCCCCTCTTCATCCAGGTGTTTAAATTAAGAAATGGTTAGCATGCAGCGTGCAACCATTGAGTTATGGATGCACGCGGGAGGTTGCTAGGCACGAAAGAAGTGCAAGAGTCGCACGAGGCTATCGCCTTATACTGCTGTTTGGATATAAAGGGTTAAGAAGGTTACCAGGCCCTCTCCTCTTACCTTATTTCATGGGGACCAATGTGAAGAATACGTCCACTGTTATCAGCATGAAAGTAAGCCTGGTCTGGTTCAACTGATAAAAAATCCATTTCCAATATTCCTTTCTTTGCAAGTTTAAAATCTCTCACTGAACAAACATGAAATACACTGCTGTTAGGCTGAGGGCAAGAAATACAATGCCATGGATATCCTCCAAATGAGATAACATGCTGATCGCTAGAAATTTCAAACAAGACCACTGGCTTTGAAGTAAACGAAACATTGACAGGGATACCATCTGGATATTCTCCAACAATAGATGATCCTTCGGATGAAAAAATAGTTTCACCCAGTTTTGTAGCAAAACTGTAGTTTTTTATGACCTCTAGCATACTGTAAAATCTTATTCTGTTTGAATGATGCATGACCACCAAAAATCCATTACTTGCTGCTGCACCATCAATATCCTGACCAAAGATAGATTTTTCAACAGGAATGAGAGCCTGGAATTCTAAAGGAGCAAGAGAAAAAATCGACAAAAACATTACAGGTCTTCCCTGAAAGGTAAAGTGGACTGATTTGAGCACAACTCGCAGCAAATCAGACTCCCAAAGTAGATGTTTTAGTCTATAGTTTTTTGACAAATAAACTTTCTGTAAAACTTCTCCGGTTTTTAAATCATGACGGACTAACCAGCCGTCTGCAGTAACAGCTAACAAGCAAGGCTTATACCCCTGATATTTCGTGCAGTTCTGATACGAGTGCTGATCAACAGGGCTTTCAAATATAAGCGCAGACTCGATCTTCTTAGAAGTGTCACAAGCAGTGAGTTTGTAAAGCAACTCAGGTTTTCCTTCTGAACCAAATATGGTGTAGCACGTCCTAAATTTGTCGAAGAACAAATGTTGACTGTCGAATCCAACAGGATGCTTAGTATTATTTCTCCAGACTTCAATAAATTTAGAGCCTTCCTTCTGCACCATAGATCGAACAATTTTGAGATCTCTTCGAACGGAGGACCCATTCACATGTAAAGATCTACGAAGAACTTGATAACATATGTTGTTTCTCTTCACGTTTTTACGACAAAAAGGTAGGTTCTGATAAACACCAAATGACACATCCATCATAAACCATTAATAAGCTGGACGTCAAACCAAAAAAAATAGATAAAAACTACGGCTTGATTTGAAATACTCCTGAGACGTTGTGACTCCTTCTAACTGCAAACTGTTACTTTCGGAGTAATTACATGACATAGGCGCTCCGACTGACAAATACCGCAACACATTGAACCTATCGGCTCAAGAACGTCTGTAAACGTTCTTCAAGGAGAAAGGGTAGCGGGTTAGTGGTCAAAATCGCTTCAATCAGCCATGAGTAAGACGCATCCACCAGAATTGAAGAAGTAAGTATGTTTTTGTATTATTTTTCTTGTGTATCTGGGAGTTATTTGGCTCAGAAAATTTCAGAAATCGTGACAAAGTGTCGACGAGGTATGGACAACAGAGTTGTTGCCAGGTGCAGGTTGACGGCGTCGATTGCCTCTGATCTCTCGTTGAAAATTGCAGTAATATCTTGTGGAGAATTTTTCATGATTATAGTTGTAATACATGCCTTAAAATAAACATCTTGCTTTTGTTCTTTTGGAAGCGATTGGGATTTGAGATTTGTCACAAGCTGCTTACTTTTTAAGTTTGACATGTGAGGTGATCAGTGCATGTTGCCGAGTCTGTGACCAACGAATCTCATCTGCTTTTTTTCAGATACATGGACAAAAGACTATCTTGTAAGTAAAATAATTTCAATCAACTCACTCACTGTAGTCTGTGCATATCAGAACCGTTGCTGGCTCAGGCTAGACCACAGGTAACCCAGGCTCACTGTTTGTGTCAAGGTAGGAGGCTGATGGCAGCGTCGGGGACCGATCGAACCTCAATCCAGCACATTTTTTTTGCGAAAATCCAATCCAGTCGCTAAATAAACACACTGGGCTTGTACAACAAAAATAACTCTAAACCATGAATCCACTTGAGCAGCTCCAGCTTGAAATGTGAAGCCAGCTGGCTCTGTAAAACTTGTATGTTAACCCACTAGAATGGCGGCCCAAAACCGTTGGAATCACAACTGGTCCAATTTAAACTGGCACTGAGCTCAGGGCACCAGATGACAAGTATGATAAGTCCCCAATGAGTGAGCGGAGTCCCAGATTGCTCAAAGGTAAAACTCACTGTCCGACTACACCCTCGAGATTATTGGCCAGAATCCATTCTTTCCCAACAGCCAATCACACACCAAGATGAAAAGAAAAAATTGAATCCACCTATTCCTGAGGCTTTGCGTTTCAAGCTGGAGCTGCTTTAGTGGATTCAGGGTTTATAGATATTCTTGTTTTACCAGCCCGGCTGGTTTATTTGGTGACTGGATTGGATTTTCGCAAAAAAAAAAAATGTGCTGGATTGAGGGTCGATCGGTCCCCGACACTGCCATCAGCCTCCTACCTTGTCTCTCTACTATGAAGGGAAGGTGAAGAAGAGTATTTTTCCTAAAACTTTGTGTACATAGTAAGGACAACAACAAATTGCCACCTGGTAAGTTTCATTGATTTTTATTTCCATTTTCAAGCAAATTTCCAGACCTTAACTTCACCCCATATGTTCTCTATTTAACCACGTGTACACGACACAAACAGTGAGCCTAGGTTACCTGTGGCTAGACAAGTAATGGGAAGCCTGTTATTTATACGTGTATATATTTACATACAGTGAAACAGTCTCTGGCATTTGTAAAAGAAAGAGGAGAAAAAGGAAATGATGGATTGAATCATTTCCAGTCTGCAGAGTATGGTACAAGCTTTCTTGAGTTGCTTTGCTTGCTCAAGTGCTTATTGTGAAAGCATTCTATGCTACAGTAGGTAAAAGAGGGGCAGTATTAGTACAGCCATGCACAGAACAAGTTCTTGATCTCCTGCTGTAGTCAAGTGCATTTGGTTGGTACAGATGTAAACGGACCAAAGAAGAGCTTTGGAGAAATAGGCTGCTTCATACCTTAACAACCCAGTGCACTCAACTACTTTGAAGCAGCAGCCACCTAATGATTGTTTCACAAATAAACGAATATTTAATAAAAATTAGTGGAGGACACACAGCAGACGCCAGGGTGGCAAATTCCTAATCTGCCCTAACTAGAGAATGAGAGTTTCTGTTGACTCTCAAGGAAGTAGAACAGGTTTAGATGTGACATTTAAACAAAATGTTTTAATTTTTAGTGAAAATCAATGGTGGCAGACAGGTAACTGGAGTACTGAGAGGATTTGATCCTTTTATGAACCTTGTGTTGGATGAAGCAGTGGAGGAAGTATCAGCACAGGAAAAACATAACATTGGAATGGTGGTAAGTGATGAATAACTAAAGTTAAAGCCAAAATCAGTCAATATTTTAACACAGTGAAGCATTGTTTTCTTGTCAATGGCAAAATAAAGGAATGCAAATTTGGCCATTCAGTAGACAAAAAACACAAATGTTGTGCAGAGGTTTCACCAAGAGCTGGTTACTGGTCATCTAACACAGTCTACAAAACCTCTTACCACCTCTTTTAAATTTGGTCATAAGCTCTTGTATTTGGATCTCACCTTGTAGACCCTTTTCTGGGGACAACTGCTTAATATATTATCCACAGCTACTCATGGAAAAAGTTAATGAAACCCGTGGTTATGTGGCACAATAATGTGGTGTTATCAAGTGGCCACAGTAGAGTTTCTTAAGTTGACATTTCCAGTTATAGCCCTTTGCCAGAGTGAAAAAGGCTATCAACACCTGTCAGTCAATTCACAATACTAGAAGTGAAGTTCATATCTGTGATAAACACTGTACTTATCTTCCTGAAGGTACAAGTAATCTTAGTTTGTATCATCAAGCTTATTGCTACATCAAAGATATTTTTTAATTGCACCTTTATGTTATCAAATACTCTATTTAGGTTGTATGTTATGTGATGTTAACCATTAAATGTTTGAGTTTCTCTCTCTCCAGGTAATCAGAGGAAACAGTATTGTGATAATGGAAGCATTGGATAGAATATCTTGAAAATACTTAAACTACCAGACCAGCTCTCTCTAACTTTGTTTTTATAAATATACTAACCATTTTTCCTTGTAAATATCTATGTGAGTGTGTGTGCAAGTTGTTGCATAAATGTTTAATTGTTGCAGAAAAATATTGTTTATGGCTCTCATTCAGAAGTTTGTTATAAAGCTCTTACACAGAAAAAAAGATTAATGTCATTAGTACAAATCTGGTATTGTTACACAACATTTAATCTGTTTTTGTAATATTTAAATGATTAAAAAGGAAGCTTTGGTTGTATTCAATGGGTTTTATTTGTGGAAAAATTCTAAAGGTTCTAAGGTGGAATTTTCAAAACCCTTGTGTCAATGCATCATTTAAATCTTTGACTCCCAGGAGTGAACAAGACAGAATATCTTCTTACAGTATCAATACAAAAGCAATGAGATAAGTGATGAGAGTAAAGAAAACTGTAAACAATGGGAATATTAGTTGATCCAATTATGAATTCTCCAAACTAACATCATAAAAATTGTATGGCAGAAAGTATGGAGAGTTACTATTTAGATCTTGGGAGTTAAAGGGTAACAATCACACTTCCTCGAACTTTCCTGGTCCGAGGTTAAAAAAAATTCTGACAATACAACAACTTTAACACCTTTTTCCTCAATAATTTATTTTGTTTGATTAAAAATATAATTTACATGGTACAACTGACATGGCAAGGAAGTCCTTTAAAACATTCTTAGTTTACAAACACTAATGAAAAATGTGGTTGGGAGACTTTTGATCTCATCAACATCAGTCTCCCCATATGTCAGCCATTCGCATCTTTTCTTCTTGTCTTTTGGCTGGGGAATATGAAAGAAAAATCCAGTTATGAAGTAGTCATGGTGTTAGGTAAAACAACTTGCTGTATTAGCAGCAGTTGTTTCACCAAAAGATCTACAAAGTGTGAAAACTGAGAGTTTGACAGAGTTAATGGTTTATTAAAACAGTAATTTCCAGAGTCCTTTCTACCCCTTTGCACAAAACAATTATCCCAGAGAAGTCCCCCATATGTCAAATGTTGACTTACTTTTTGCTTCCTTGAGTTTTTCTCTCTCCTTAGCCCTCTCCTCTCTGGTCATCTTTGACTTTATTCCAAGTGCTCCTGTAACCATCCTATCAGCAAGGAGCTTACTAGTCTGTGGTCTTTCCTTGTATGGCTGCAGCAGGTCTGAAAGATTTGTCATTTATTCCCAGAAATTAGTAAAATGTATTTTTAGTGTGAGGGTTAGAGTCTATGGACAAAGTGGCAGTTTGTTCCTTGTTAGTTCTGGACAGAATAAGGAGAAAGTTAGTGTAATGACATCACTTAATGGAGGTTTCGCCCCATTCACATTCACTGTCTACTACTTTTCTCCTGCTGAAGCAAATCAAGTTTGCCCCACCTTAAATAGTTTGCTTTGGAATGTTTCAACCTGTTTCCTTGCCACAGAGCAAATTCCTTTTCTGTTGAAAGCACAATATACTGTGACTTACCAGAGCACCAGCTAGCTTTTTTCTTTGATTCTGTTGTTCCTTCACTAACAGGTCGCAGTTTCATAAGTGGACCTGAGCATAACTTTATGGCATCTTGAGCTATAATAACAATTTGATAATTAGATAAAGATTTATTCATTAAAGATTAGATATCAATTGTATTAACAATGTACATGGATTGAGTAGCATCAACAACAAAAAAAGGGAAGTGTCACCATCTTTCATCCTGAAGAGGCCAAAACGAGATGAACAACTTCACATTTAATTGAAATTTCAATTCTCTTTGACTTCTTTAAAAAATGTAATTTTCCCTGACTTAAATTGAAATTCCCTTACTTTTTCCCTGATTTTAGAGAATTTTATTTTTCCCTGGCTCTTTCCTGACCTTGAGACAACAACACATTAAAATTTTCCATATTAATTTTGCTTAAAAAAAAAAAAAACTGAACACATAGCCCAACCCCAGGAGCTTGGTAAAATTTTGATGATGATAGCAAAACAAATTCAGGTAAGGACCCGAGTTTACATTAAGAAAATTGTCTGTTGGAGAGAAGGTGGTTATCCTGATACAGTTTTGATCAGAAGAAGGGCACCAATAGACTAGCCAAGAAATTACATTTGGGAAATGCATAGCAAGTTACACTAATTTGCAGGTGTAGACATGGTGTAGATCAATCTAACCTGTATGCCGACTTGAAAACACAGCTAGAGCATGTGTGTCATCCACCCATTTTATGTCAAATCCTTTGCTTCTAAAAATGAGGATTAGTTAAGTACTCCAAAACTTAAAATTATAGATAACTAATTGGGTTTATTCTGTACCAATAACAGTACAAATTTGAGATGTTCTGAATTATTTGAACTAGATATGTTTTTGGAGGCAACCCCATTGTGTTAAACAATTTCATTAACTTTCATTGATTATTCTGAATTCTAGTAGATATACATTGTAAGTGGCTAATCATTTGTACTGTTTGGTGAAAAATTAAAGCACAGAAAAAGGTACAAGGTTCCGTAACCTACATTGTGGACCAAGGAAGAAATATTAATATGTGATACATATCTGGGTTCAAATAGAGAGGGAAGATTTCAAATCAAACAATTTTTTTACTTTAGCTAGTTGTACAGTGTTATACAGCCTGCTAAATTGACCAATGGGGCTTGTCTTTGGCTTTACCAAGTTGGCGAGTGAGTCAGAAAAAACTGTTTGCTTTGCAGAGAAACTTTCCCACCCTAAAGGCTTGATATGGTTTCTATTTGAGCCTAAAAGGTGGAATAACTGATGAAATTAATTGCCAAGATGTATTTTCTCTTGGCTCTTAAAGCCATGGTTAAATTACATGTAGATCCCTAGATCTATGCAAATTACCTGAAAGAACTCAGAGCTTGCATCAGGTCTTGAGTCTTTAAATCAGCGGAAAAGTTGTAGATTTCCACTATGTGTCCAAATTCTGAGAAACATTTGATCAAAGTTAAAAGAAATAGAAAAAAATTACACATAGAAATGACAGGTGTTAATGCCATGTGAAATAGCTCTACACTGTGTTACAATCCATGAGATTAGTGATGAAATGACTAATGACTGGTTTGCTTTGGTTCTAACATTAGGTCTGGCTTCAAGTTTTTGCTGAGTCATGGTTTCTTGATCTTGAGCAAGACATTAATTTAGTTGTCACCATGCTTCACTGCACCCAAACATTTTGACAAGAAAACTGATGGATTGCTGGGAGGTAACCTTTTGATGGACTGCTACTGAAACTGGCATGAATATGGCAAGATGAGCCTTGTGTCGGCCTTTTGGCTTATAAGCTGACTTTTCACCTTTGCCATGTGATGAGAGAAGCCACATCATGGTTCAAATAATTTAGTGTCAACACTCATCCTACTAATTAATACGAATAGAAGTAAAAAAGCGCAAACCTTCATCATCTAGTTCAACTTCCTTTGGCACAAAGGAGTAAAAATCAAACTGAGTCTTATGAACCTCAAGATCAGCTTTTCCAGTCAATCTTGTTAGCTAATTGATGGACAAAATAGGTTGAAAGAAATTATTATTAAACACTTGAATGTAAATACCAGTAACAATGAAAATAACCTAATAGTATTTAAGTGTGAGATTAGGTTTAACGGATATATCAAGCATGTCAATCTAGGGCTTGCCATCTGTGCAAAATTCGTAAATGATAAATGAATTAAGGGCCTGTGCTCTGACACGTGCTATAGGATAAATTACAACAAATAGTAGTTAAGATTAATAGAACTTTGGCACACCAAATCCTACTACAAATAAATCTTACATGTAGCTACAAGCTATACATTTAAAGCCTATGCAGTAATTGTAACTTCATTGATCAAGCAAGTACTGCTCAGGAACTACCTTTTCAAAAAGTATTTCTTAAAAATCAACAAAGTCAAAAGTTATGTTTTAACTCAACTGTAAAGTGCCAAGTTCTTCCACTTCTAACCAATGAGGTTCATGAATACATACCTCTTCAAGGTGCTCTGGATTGAGACAATCTCCACTCTCATTAAAATTTGATTCCCAGTCGTCATCATCATCATCTTCACTATCATTGTCATGCTTTTTTATGGATGATCCTGTTTGAAGCTTACTTTGAGTAGATGATTCTCTCTCAATAATCTTACCACAGGTGTTAAGATCTTCTGTATCCCCTTGTTTTGAGGATTGCTCCTTGTTTTTTGATTTTTTATGCTTTTTCTCCTTTTGTTTGGAATCTAAATTTTCATCTTTATCACTCTTTTCTTTTGAATTTTTCTTGTCTTTTCTTTTTGTTTTTTCACCCTTGTCCTTGGATTTTGATTTCTCTTCCTTACCATCCTTATCCTTCTTTGGTTTCTTCTTCTTTGTTGTCTTATCATGCTCCATCTCCAGTTCACCAACATTTTCCTTCAACTCTGCCACTGATAAATTTGAAACACTATGTTTTTCTTCAAGTACCTCCTGAGCTTTTTCGCCTGTATTTTCAGTTTGAGCATGCAACTCTTCAGTGCACTCACTTAAACGTCCTACATCTGAATTAAATCTTTGTGAAGCTAAATCCTTTTCAAGGACCAAAGAGGTTGGACTAACATCCAAAGTGCATGATGGGTGATTCCCACAATTTTCAGCATGTTCATGCACTGATTTTGAAGTCATTTCCATTGATCTTATCCCTGCTTTGTCAGTGATGTCCTCCTTACTCATACTCAATTGACTACAAACCAATTCTTTTTGTGTACCATCTTCACCTTGTTTTACAGTATGCTTTTTAACAGACAGACTTTGGTGATCAAATTGAACATTCATTGCATGCATTTGTAGACTAGGTTTTGCCACAGGCACATCAGTCATTGCACCACAAGGCTGTAAAAATGCTTCATCAACAACAGAACTGGATTCCACACCCTTCAAGGTTGCTTCTGATTGACTTCGATCATCCAAACATCCTTTGTTTTGTACTTTTTCCTCTTGTTGATCACCACCTGGATCTGTTAAAATCCTATAGCTTTCTTTTTTAACAGAATCATCAAGATCTATAATTATATCACTTCCATTATGACGTGCAGCTGTTTCACTCCTTGCTTCATTTGCATTCTCATATCTGCTCAAAACAGATATTGTAGGCTGGTCATCAACTGGTAAATCTAAGTCAGTGGGACTTTCCATAAGTCCACCTTTGGTCTCTGCTTTTTGTTTGTCCAAGGGAGGATCATTAACATTTCCTATAGAAATGGAATCATCCTTGTGTGATTGAGTTTCAGTTTTCAGTGGGTTTGAATTGTTTGAATCATTTTCTCTTGAGTCAATAATGCCTTGATTTTGCTCTGAATATACAATTTTCTTGTTCATTTGAACACAACTGTCATTTTCAGTGTCTACTGTAACAGTGCACTTGTCCATTTTTTCTTTGCAAGTTGTTCCATTACCTGTTGTCACGAATGTCTGCCAAAGATCATTTTCCAAAGCAACATCTTTGTCACAACAATTTTCCTGACCAAAAGACGTACTCTGGCTGGAGGTATCTCATGTTTGATCTCTTTCATTGATTACTTTTGCCAGTGAACCATCTGATTCTTCATCAAGTGCTCCATTGGAGCTCTTAGGAAATTTTATCTTGTTATCACTGTTGGGCAGACTTAATTTGTTTGCTTCATCCCCCATACCTCCAATGTGCAATGTTTCATTTACAAACAAATCCGATGACACATTTGTAGATGCTTGTTGCATATTACCCTCCAAATATGTCCTTTTTATTCCTGCTACAATGTCATCCACCAGTCCTTCACTACTAAGAGGTATATCCTGCTGTAGCGTATTGTTCAGTTCGGTTCCATACCTTTGACTGCACTGTTTTTTCTTGTTGGGGTCATCTTTTGTTGCAACGATTACACCATTGTTGATGCTACTATTACTCTTAGAAATTTCTTCATTTTCTGTGATGTTGGTCGAAGATTCTAAAGTAGCACTCTCCTTTGTCTTGTCATTCTTTGCTTTTCTCAGTGCTCCTGGTACATACAGCGCCTGATCTGGCTTCTTTGTACGCCTACAAAAATAATGTCAAGCACAAGAATGACACATGTTTTTTTGTATTGGCTGGTTTCCAAACAAATGAAATGTCTTTAAAGTCATGGACATATAAAAAAATCTACACTGAACGTCCTTAAACAGGCAGAAGAATCTTTTTATCAACTGGCTGTATCAATTTTCAAGTACTTGCTAAGAACTTCTGGGCTGGGAGAAGGATATCAAATAAATCCTTTTTTCCAATTTCTAATTACCTGCCTCTGCCTCTCCCAAAGAAGGTCTTTTCTGCACTTGACTGGGATTGAGTCATCTTGTGAGAATCTCTATAAACCAAATAAAAAATAGTTTGCAAGGCTCAATAGTACCATGCTTATCATAACCTCATAATTGGTCTCTCCAGTTGTGTAATGTGTAGTTAAAGGAACACAATGCCCCAGAGTGCTATGAGGCTGTTTCCATTGTCACATAATCCAGTGTGCTGAAGAGTTCTAAAATACTGAGAATGTCTGCAACATTCTTCTAAATGTCATTGTCAGAGTTATAAGGTGAACCTGGAAGGATGGGAAAATTCATGTAATTTTACACTGTCAGTTTTTAACCAGATAACTCAGACATAATTTATAAGTTCATTCAAGTAAATCAACAAGGCCCTCAAAACCCAGAGGAGATGGATGAAACAAGAATACACAAATGGAAAGTGGTTAATTTTCCCCATAGCAAGTTCACCCCTGATCACCATTGCAAGTTTGCCTCCTCAATTAAACCCAGAATATTTCCTTGTACACATGTGCAAGTCTTGAAATACAAAATACATACATGTATCAATATGAAAAAAGATGAAACTATTAACTTAACTCAGTCAAGTGGCTAGCCTCATGAGGGTCTAAGTACATAGAAACCTACAATAATAGTGTCTGCAAAGACTGTTTTTATGTAATGCTGTTGAAGTTTTGGGTCTGTACAAAGTTCAAAGGTACAGTGTAAGCTGAAATAACTAGTTCTTAGTTCTTAGAAATTGCTGTGAAAAGAATCACAAAATGTGTCAAACCTATCAGATTAAGACTGGAGAAAAGTAGGGGCTTTGCATCACTCCTGCATTTAGTTGTGTGTTTTTAAACATGAAGGCGCGCTATTTAAAGGAGCCTTAGGTCCCACTGGACCATTTGTCAATCAACTGTCGTGTGATGTAGAACTCTTAGAGTCAAGTCAGCTTGAGCTACAGCTACTCCAAAGCAATGAACAGCAGGCGCATTCCTCAAATTGTTTTTGTCTTCATCACAATACAAGAAATTTTGAGATTTGTATTTCCTTTCTCCAATGGAAACTGTCTTTATTTGTGGCGATAAATTTGAGATCAAAGTAGGTGGTTCACATGCCCGGGTTGGGGGGGG